GACTGCTGGCGCCCCCACCACCCCCTAACTCTCATCCGCATCTGCGGGGTGCTACGTGATTGCAAGCGTCGCGCTCGACATATCCAAATGAAACGTACTGTCACACTGCCAGAACATATATTACGCTGGCAGATTGCCGACAAATGCGCGTCGCACTGTTCGCGCGCCCCGCGCGAAGAACGCCGGCGCGCGCAAGGCGCTGCGTTCTGCCACTTTGCCTCGACGGAAGGGCGCGCGCGCGCAGCGATCGAAACCCCGCGGCCCACGGCGCGGAGAGGGCGCTCAAATATCTGGGCGTTCGCCCTGTCGGGCCACGCGGAGGAACATCTATGCCCGCGCGCCTCGGCGCGCCCCCACAAAGGATAAAATGATATCCCTCGGAACGAGATGGGCTCCCAGAAGGGGCAAAGGTGACCCCCGCAACTGCAGGTAGGGATAAAATATCGTTCCGAGGGGAGCGCGGTAATTACATAAGGAAAGACATGCCCCCCCTGGCGGGTAGCTTCTCATCCCCCTCAAGAGAAAGAGACAACCTTTCAGCCCCCCACCTGCTGGTCCAATTGCCAGGTTCCGGGGGCCCTGAAACCAAAGATGTTGCCATCTCGGGGACTTCCGTCCGTGGCGCACCCCCCAATGATCCATCGGCGCAAGAGGTCCCGCGCGGGGTTCGAAACTACCGCGCGGAAGCGCTGGTTCAGGCACAGTGCCAAACCAGAAGACCGACAAAGAGCGAGCAGAGGCAGGCGGGTATCTTCGCCAGCTTCCACGGGCCTTCCTTTTTCTCCAACCACTGCGCCCAGGGACCCCCAAGGGAGGACGCTTCGTGAGGGGCCCAAGAAAACTTCAACCGAGATCGGCGCATTCGGAAACCTATATTCCGAACGATGGGCCCACCGACGGGCGCGCATGCGGGCTCGGACGGAGAGGCCGCCCCCCCGCCCCCGCGCGCCCCCGCCTCTGCGGAGGCGGCGCTGTGAGAGCGGCGCCCTCGCCCCCCTCTGGGGCATGGGCGGCCGCCCGCCTCGCGCAAAACTCAAGAGGGCTAGACCGAGGGGCAGCAGAGGAAAGAACAGAGAGCAGCGCACAGGTCCGAGGCGGCCACCCCCCGCATCAATCACGCACTCGTTCGACCCCTCGAACTCGAAGTACACAAAGAAGCTCGGCCAGAGGGCCATCCCATCAAGGAAGTAGACGCGGGAGCCGCAAGGCGCACAGGTGGGTGAGAAATCGGTTAGGTGGATGCTATGCTCGGGGGCGAAGCCCTCAAGCATCACCCCCACCGCCCTCGCGGCCGAGGCTGGAGAGACTCGTCGCGCCCACGAAAGAAAATAATGTGTAGCACCTGCGACCACCAGAAAATGCAAGATAAGCCTCCGCCCGTCCATATGTTAGTCCGTAGCGCGGCTCATCCTCTGACGCTTGAACAAACTCGTGAGAGTCCCATGTGGGCGAACTACATATTATTCTTCTTCGGCTTCTTGGGGGCTGCTCTACCTGCTTGGCTACCTTTGAGCGCTGCCCGTGGTCGTGTCCCAGAAGCACGTGGGTGGCCTTGAGCGCGCCGTTGATCCTGAGGACGGTCAGCGCCGACGCCAGGTCTGGGTGATGGATGACTGCCCAAATCCAGCGAACTTGGTCCTCGGCTCCTTCTGTCAGCTTGACCTTGAAGCATCATCCATGTCCTGAACGATAGCCCCCCACTGCTTCGGCACCTGCAGAGCGGTTGGGGCCGGTTCGTGGGCTTGGCCGTTCTTCGCCGCGTCGTCTACCTCTTTGGCGTTGCCCGTGTAGGCTTCGGCGAGGCGGATGATCACGTTCCTCAGGAGCGCGTGTGGCTTCCTCCCGAAAAAGTGTCCCTGGAAGTTCTCGCCTTCCCGCGCGGCCTTGCTTGTCACGATGTAGTTCTGGAGGCCCTCATCCAGAGCCATATCGAGTTTCGTGCCGACCTTGCGGATGAGGGTGACGTTGTCGTCCCTCGCGTTTGCTTGGTGGGTTGCCTCGTGCTGAAACAGGAGGCGGCACAGGGCTTGATCTCGTCGTTGTTCGACGTGTCCGTCTGTCCCAGTCCTTCGGTCTCGCTCTGGCGCTTCTCTCCGCTGCTCTCCGCTATCGGCGCGAACATGGTGAGGCAAGGGAGCAGGAGGATCTGGGGCAGGCTGGTCGGGTGCTTGGCTCACAGAGGCTGGAACCGAGGGCAACAAGGGGCGCACGACATCTCCCATTGAGTACATGCCTGACGTGGGTGTCTTTTCGGCTAAATTTGTTCCCACACATCGGGCACACCAGCGAACAGAGCTGTTCATCTGTGAGGCCCGTGGGGTTCGCATGCATCGTATGTGCCAAGAACATGTGGTTGGCTCGGCCCTTGGGGCCATGGCACATACGTGAGCATGTCGGGCAAGGTGCCACAAGCCTTCCGCCCGCTTCCGCCGGCGGAGCCGCGATTTACGTCCGCTGCCTTCCGCCGACCTTCCGCCACCCCCCGCCGAGAAAGGGGTGCCACCTCTGTCAATCATCGACTTGCCTTCGCTCGGACGTCCATGACCTGTGCAATGTTCAGTTCCGTGCGGATTCTTGTGCTACTCGATGATCCAGGATGCTTCTCGATGGTCGTCGCCAAAAAAAAAATGCACACGTCCGAGCGATGCCAAGTCGAAGGCGAGGCCCTCTCTGGAATGCCCCAGTTGCTTGGGCCGATAACTGCAAGCGCCGCTTCCAGGGGCCCCCGCCTGCCCCCCCTCGCGGGAGCCGAGCCTGCGCTCCGTCCCGCCACCGACGCCCGATCAGCACAAGGGGCGCCTGGGGCGCCCGACGCGCCGCGTGCCAGCTCCGCGACTGAAAGACGTGCGTTACTCTGGCGCGCGACGAGAATGAAAAAGGAACCACGGGAGTGCCAGAAACAAAAATCAACATTCGGCACGCCAGCGAGGGGGGTCCAGCGACGATCCAAGTCCACGTGACGTCACTTGCGAACATCATTATATGGAAACTGATCTAAGTCTAGGCCAGGGCCCCTCAACATCAGGAGCTGCAGTCCGCTACTGCCTCTTTCTCCCGCAACCTCTTGTCCCACTCGTCCTCGTCGGCCCCCTGCTCCCTCTCCTGCTCCTGCTCACATTCAGATTCCATTGAACACACACACACGCACACGCACACGCACACGCACGCACACGCGCACACACACACACACACACACACACACACGAACACACAGACACACACACACACACAACACAAATCCGCCGATCCGGCATGCGAGTTTGAGAAGTCTAAGATGAAGCTCTGCTTCAGCATGAGCTTTAGCTCTGCTTGGAAGGGGGGGAGGGGGGAGGACGTAATTAACTGACGAATTCAATGCTCGGCACCTCGCCCCTCCCCTGCCAGCCCCCGGGAGAGAGGAGGTGGGACAGGAGAGAGGGGGGGGAGAGGGGGCGGGGACAGGAGAGAGAGGACGGGGGGGGACAGGAGAGAGGGGGGGGGGGGAAAGGAGAGAAGGGGGGGGGGACAGGAGAAAGGGGGGGAGGACAGGAGAGAGGGGGGGTGGACAGGAGAGAGGGGGGTCAGAGGGGGGGGGGGGACAGGAGAGAGGGGGCGGGGAGGGGGACAGGAGAGAGGGTGGGGGGGGACAGGAGGGAGGGGGGGAGGGAACAGGAGAGAGGGGGGGGGGGCAGGAGAGAGGGGGGGAGGGACAGGAGAGAGGGGGGGGACAGGAGAGGGGGGGGGAGAGGGGGGGGGACAGGAGAGAGGAGGGGGAAGGGGGGGTGGCCGGGATCATCACCATCTCCATCACCATCACCATCACCATCACATCGTCACATCACCATCATATCATCATTATCAGCATCATCATCATCATCATCATCATCGTCATCATCATTATCATCATCATCATCATCCACCATCACCATCACCATCACCATCACCATCACCATCACCATCACCATCGCCATCATCATCATCATCATCATCAGCATCAGCATCAGCATCATCATCATCATCATCATCATCATCATCATCATCATCATCATCATCATCATCATCATCATCATCATCATCATCATCATCATCATCATCATCATCATCTTCGTCATCCGGAGCGCCCCGGATCGCCGGCACTGGCCTGAGGCCACTACAATAATGAATCATTGAATATGCATTGGGGGGTTCGAGGACGGGGGAGGGAGACGCAGAGTTCCAAAGGATTGCTGCTGTTGTGCATGGGGCTCCTTATGACGCCACCTCCTCCCCCTTTTACCGTTCCTCGCCTACTTTCTCTTCAAGGTCATCTATAGAACTCGTATGTATAGATACATCGCTATGTATAGTTCTCTCTGTGTGCTTGCGTGTTGTTGCAATCGCGGGGAGCCCAATCGAGCCACTCATCGATTCTGACTGCCCTAGGCCCCGAACCTGGCCCTCACCTGGACACCCAACCTAAAGCAGCGGGCAAAACCCACAGGCTCGACATCCTCTTGGCGCAGAAGGTCCAGGCAACATCTAGTTCCAACCAGACCTCCGAGGCGCGCCTGGCCGTGGCCAAGAGATGGGCCCCCGAGTCCCCGAAGAATGCCAACATGTTCAGAATTATTATGTCCCTGTGTATTGTTTTGAGCATCCTTTAACCAAGCCCTATCCCCATGGGCGAGGCCTGGGCCCCACTGGCCCAGTAAACCCACTAGATGGGGATATGGCCTGTTTCCTTCGGGTCTTGAGGGGTATATCGCCAACTGGGGTGTTGAAGTGTTGGGGTCCGGGATGGAGATGGGAATGGGGATAGGGGTCGGTTACCCGTCGGTCGGAAGAAGTAGGCAGAAACATGGGGTAGGAAGGCGTTGCAAGTAGACTGGGCTTCCGCCCACCCCCTGAAGAGGAGGGAAGAACGACAACCACTCGACTCTTGAAATAGGAGAGCGCCTAAAATAGATTGGGGTCTGGGTGTCCAAAAACACGTTCGTTGAACGACCGGCGGGTAATCGGTACTGATTGTTCCTGCCCTCCACCTTCTTCGCGCGCATGCGGGCCGCCAGGGCACCATCGGGGACGACGGCAAGGGCCAGGCACAGCAGCGGCGCGAGGTTCATTGCCGGTGCTCTGCCGGAGGCGGGTCGGGGCGGGCGCTTCGTTGCTGCCTGAGGTCCTCGAGACAAGTGGCTGCAGGGAGGAGGCACGAGGTGAGACTGTGGGGAAAGGGCTGGAGGATTGTGGCGAAAAGAGGAAAGGGGGAGGGTACTCCTCCTCCCTCTGCTCATCCCTTCTCCTCCTCCTCCTCCTCACTGTCTTTCTTTCCTCCGAAAAAAACTCTTCCCCGTCGCACTCCCGCGCGTGTCGAAAGGACGGGCCGGGCATTTCTTGCGAGACTCCTTCATCATCTATGATCCTGGAGTTTGAAACTTGCGACGGCTATTCGGGTGGAGGGGGGCCTTTTCACAAAACGGAGCTATTACTTGAGCGCCGCGCGCATTCGATTCAGAAGTCCGCCACAGCTGCAAGGATGCAGAGCGGGTCTTTCTCAAAACGGGGACATCGCGTCAACGCCGCGCACTGTCACAACTGATTCCCCCTTGAGGCTTTTCCATCAATATCGGCCAAACGCGTGCACATCCGCCACTGCACAGTTGGTGGGTGGTTGGTGGGTGGGGCGGGAGGACGCCGAGGCGCAAGAGGTTCCAAGGGTGCCCCAAGACGACCCAGGAGGACCCAGGAGGCCTGCAGAACGGCCCATGCAGGATCCACAAAAAACCAAAGAGGGGCCACAAGGGAAACACGTACTGCCATGTCGGGCCCTCCGCGCCAGAAACTCGAAGTTCGGACTTGGAGTGTGCAGGGGCTTACAGAGACAAAGCAGGACAGGAGCTCCAGCAGCGTATGGAACAGGAGAACAGGTGGCATTGGCATTCTCTGCTCTCAGGAAACGCACACGCCGAAATCCACAATGATATGACAGACGGTTATGTCCTGCTTGTCCTGTTTGGCACGGCAAAGGCCCCTCTCCTGCAACGTTGACGGGTCGGCAGGCCCAAACGGAGGGAACAGCGGGAATGGATCCTTGACCTCTCCGCTGTGGCACGTCGCAGCCCCGTCGGGCCACGGGCTCCAGACGAGACACTTCGAGAGGAACATCCGTCAAACTCTCGGTCCGCGGAGGGGACATGGTCATTTGCACCGCCTACGAGGGGAAAACAAACCTACCTCGCTTTTGACCACCCTCGCTTCCAAGAGATACCAAACGATGCCAAACTACGGCCTGTACTGGTCAGGCCGCTTGACGAGGAGGCGCGTGGTATGACTTGGTTTTGCCTGGAAGCGAAAGCGGGGTAGGTAATTCACGCTCTGAGCCTACGCGCGCCACGGTGGAAGCCAGTCGCCGACCAGCAGGTTGTCGTCCCAGAGCTGGCCAGCTTACTCGACAACCACTACGCTCCACGGACCGATGTTGTGATTCGAGATTTCAATACCTGGTTACACAGGCGCTTCCCCGGAGAGGAAGACGCACCCTCGCAAGGTGTGCGTCCGAATGGCTCCCTGGGGATATGTCCCAGGATTTCCCTCCTTTTCCGGGCGGCGTCACTCTTCGTCGAAAAGTCGGGGGCTGGGGAAGAACATATCGCCTGCGAAGAGAGGATGCGCGGTAAGGGCGCAAGGGCCGTGGAAGGCCACGCCGACACCCTTCGAGCGGGTCGCCGCCAGCGAAAGTGGTCAAGGATGGGCCGAAGGAGAGAGGTGCAAGGGCAGCCTTGGGAAATCGCTCATCCTTCCTATGCGGGCTGACTGCGTATATCGCTGAAGTCGGGGCAGACTGCCTCTGAAGATATACAGCCGTGATTTGCTGGGTCCTCTTCCCTCTGCTCCTCCCTATCCTCCACCACCTCCTCCCCCATACTGCGCGCAGCAGCAGATTGCGTACCCCATACTGCGCGCAGCAGCAGATTGCGTACCCACATGTTTCATAGCCGCACTTCATCCACTCCAAAACAAGAGGGGGATCGATAACTACGATGTCAGGTTGCCAAGGAAACTAGGCATAACATCTCGGCGAAAGGTTTGCCCTGCTGCACTGACCAAATCCGCTGATTCCTCACGAGGTCCACCACGGCAACCTTTTCGAGCCGCGTTCAGCCGCGTCGACGAACACCTCCAACAAACGCCCAAACGAGACTCCAAAAACTGGCGCCGTCGACGTCCAGGATGAAGCTAGGTAGGAGGATCAAGCGAGAATCGAGAGAAGTCTTTCGTCCTCGTTCGCGCCATCCCCTGCGGCGGACCGCCAACCACCAGCGACGCTCAGCGGTTGCCCATCCCGCAGATGTACTTGAAACTGTTCCAGTAGCCCCCGGAGGGCTTCGAGACTTCGCTGCAATCTGCCGCGGTCGTGTTGCTGACGGTGTGGACCACCGTCTCGCCTGGGGTCCAGCTTTTCGGCCAGAGTCTCGACATGATCAGTCACATGATTAGTCGCACGATCTGTCAGTACCAGGCCAAGAGGGCAGCAAGCGCGCGGCTCGACGCGTGCATGTTAGAACCATGGCCAACCAATGTCCTCAAAATGTGCGCACCACCAACCTTGCCGACGAGATCAAAGCAACCGTCGTCACCATCATCATCACCATCGGCATCATCGGCACCATCATCGTCATCATCATGATTATGCATATGATCATGATCATTATCATGATCATCATCATAATCATCATCAACAGGATCATCATCATCATCATCAGCAGCATCATCGTCGTCGCCATTGTCATCGTCATTGTCGGCATGGTCGTCGTCGTCGCCGCCGTCATCAGCGCCTCCACAATCCTCAATACCGTCGCCGTCGCTGATGCCGGTGTCGACAGCATCACTCGCCCGCCCCAGTCGTGGGATCTGCATGGCAAGTGTCTTCGCGTCGCTGCACCAGTTGAGTTGTGCAAATCAGTTGTGGGCGTGTGGGTGGGAAGATAGCTCGAGCACTGGAGCCAACGACAAGCCATCATCCCCCTACTTGATCTTAACTGTTCCCAATTGGATCCACCCCAGGAACCGCGTCACAAGCAGTGCACCCCGAAGATCACCCTCTACATTGCACTCCAATGATTGCACCAAGCAGAGTATATGGAGACACCGCTTTCTGGCCCGCGGGCTAGCATCACTACTGGCGTATGTTGTGCCTGGCATGGAGGAAACAGGTCCTGGAAGAACAGAGTCCTATATTCTGAGCAATCGTCAATACCCTCGGTCACTCCCTAGGGCCGTGACCGTCAACAAGCAACCGGACATACATGCCTGGCCCTGGAAAAAACTCTGCGTTCTTGGCCCCGTTCCCCTCAAGACACGATTCCTTCATGGCGACGCATGTGTTTGAGACCCGTGTCGCCCGCCCCGTCGCAGTTGCTGCCCGTGAACACCTCCAAGGTGGCGGGGCCGCAGAGCTTGAACCCAGCGGTGCCGTCGGCATGGTGGCAGATGTCAGGGGCCGCGGTGGACTCGGCCCAGGCCGTCACCCCGCTGCCAGTATCTGTGTAGGTGTTCGTGTACAGCTCGCTGGCCAGGCAGATTTTGGCGCCTGTTGTGTTTCGAACACGGATCGCCGACGCCTTGAGGACCCTCTTGGTGCACCTGCATTTGCCATGCTTGACGACCGTCTTGTTGCCCTGGCGTGCAGCAAGGAGAGACGAGGATGATGAGGTACACATTGCTTAGCGTGTCGCGGCGGCGGCAACTGCTACGCGCTGGGCCTGGCAAGCTGATAGGGTGTCGCTCTGCTTCGTGGAACGAGAGACAGAAACAAGCTGGAACACATTAATACGTTGGGGCTGGGACGTGCTTACCGCGTGGCGCCGAAGCGTGGATCAGGGATGACTGACAAACAGGCGGCGGCGGAGTGGGCGGATGAGGAAGTAGGAAGGGACTCGCTGTCTACCTTCGTCGTGTCCTGCTCTCTCCGGCCCATCGTCCACGGCAAGTTCGTGTAGTGACGACATCGGTGTCAATTTCTGACAGAGCGGAACCGTCCCCAAGGATGGAGTCGAAAACTTCGTGGTCCGCGCCACGGAAGATTCATCACGTCGGAGGTCTGGAGATGAAAAGTGGTACAAATGCCCTAGCTCTTGCACAAGGGAGGGCAAAGGCGAGGCGGCATCAGGAGATGGGGGTCTTGGGGCCATCCTGATGTTCTCCTGGGGCAATCACGAGGAGGCAGCGGCAGGGGGGCCCAGGGGGGCGACGAGCGAACGAGCGAACGACGACGAACATGAAGGGCACCGAGCTCCAGAACACACAAGTGCAAAACGATTAGTGAGAAGCAGGGAACCTCGGCCACGCAGGGCGGAAGGCTTCTTAGAAGCACTCCAACCTCTCAGAAGGCGCGGGCCGTATCTATAGATGTAAGGCAATCGCCTTCTGAGAAGCAGCCTTCCTCTAAGAAGCCTTCCCCCGTCCCTCCACCCCCTTGTGCGAACAGCCGAGAGCCCAGACACCCGTCTAAAGGCCTCCTAAATGGGGTCGGAGTAGCTGGGTTCGGAGGATCGCGCCGCATCGCCGATGCATCGGCGATGCATCGCCGATGCATTGGCGATGCAATGGCGACGCTGGCGTGGAGCACATCGGGCCCCACATCGAGCCGCATCCTCGATGTGTCGGCGATGCGGCGCGATCCACCGACCCCATCGACTCCGACCCCATCTGGGAGGCCTAGCCCAGAGACTCGGCAAAAGCTCGCGGCGGCCCGTCTGTCGCCACCCTTGGTATCTGGCGATGCTGTTCTCGGGCCGCGGGAACGTCAACGACATCGACTCGGGATTGAAAAAAAACAGCACGCTGCCCTCGGGCCTTGCCATCGCTCGGACGTCCATTCCCGTGCATGTTTCGATTCCGAACGTTTATCCCGCCAGCCCTCTGGGCGCAGGTGGTCTAACGAGATCCCGCTCCCCTCTCCCAGCAAAAACCCTTCCCCCGTAGGGGTTTATCACTGTTCCCTATTGATATACACCCCCTCCCCCAGGCGACTGGGAGCCAACCCGAGTCCATGACGGCACCCCCCACCATCCCTGGTAAAAAAAAAAAACATACAAAACACATACTGCCCCCACCATCCATTGTGAACAACAATACAAAACACACTCTCTCCACATTCGGAGCATGCGCAGCGAACCCGACGCGGCCTCCCCCCACCATCCCTGTCAAAAAACCATACAGAGTACACTTGGCGGCGGCGGCGGCGGCGGCGGGGGCGGCGGCGGCGGCGGCGGCGGCAGCGGCGGCGGCGGTGGCGGCGGCGGCAGCTGTGGCGGCGGGCGGCGGCGGAGGCGGATTCGCCCCCAGTAGCTGCCCATCCAAAGACGACTGGTGCATGTGCTGCGGCTCGGGCCAGGCTCGGGTGCTAAGTATGTGTTGGGAGGGCGGGTGGGCTTGCTCCAGGAGGGCCCGGAGGCGCCGCCAGACCAGCGCAGGCCAGCCGACGTCCTCGTGATCCCACACTTGGCTTTGGCGACGCACCTTCCCGACGGCAGCCGTGCGGTCCGGGCAGAAAAGGTGTGCTTTGACTTCGCGGTCATCAAAGCGCTGGGGCCAGGCCATTGGGCGGACACCGCACTGGCCGCCGGGCTCCCGTCCGAGACCTACGACGAGGAGAAACGGAGGCGACGCCGGACCGAGGAGAGGTGCCGCGCACAGGGCTTGGCCTTCCGGCCCGTTGTCCTCGAGCCGCAGGGCGGCATGAGCAAGGGCGCGGACGCGGCCTTCCGGGCCGTCGCAGCAGCGGTAGCCGGGAAGGAGGGGCGGGAGCAATCAACTGTGCGCCGGGAGATGCTCCAGCGCGTGGCGATCCTACTCGCCCGGGGCTGCGCTGCGCGGATCGAGCGTCGGCGGGCCAGAGCCCGCGTAGGGCGAGCTGCGTGGGCGGCGGCTGCGGCGGCTGTCGCGCGCGAGCCGGCGCACGAGGACGGTGAGTGAGACGCCGCGCAGCCGCGCCCTAGCGGGCTGGCGGCCGCGTGACCTGTGTCGCCGTCGTCGTTCCCCTCCCTCTCCTCCTCCTCCTCCTCCTCATCCTCCTCCTCCTCCTCCTCCTCCTCCTCCTCCTAATCCGGCCGCTGCTCTGTGGAGTCTTCTTCCCGCCGGAATGGAAGGCGGCAATTTGTCCTGATGCGCTGACGCACGGGTGCTCTTCTTGGCCCGCTTTCTTTCTTGCCTTGGCTTTGGCTCTCGGTTCCTCCCCCTCTCCTCTTCCTTCCTCTCCGTGCTCCCCCCTTGCCCTTGTGCTCTCTCGCCCTTGTGTTGCTTCCTTGCCCTTGTGTGTGCTGTGCTCTCCCTTTCTCTCTCCCTGCTTGGATTCCCCTCCCCGTCCCCCCGTCCCTCCGTCCGTCGGCCCGGTCTGCCCTTTCCGGTCGTCCCCCCCTCCCTCTCCCCCTCTCGCTCCTCGGCTCCGCGCTCTCCGGCCCGTTCCTGTTCCTTTCTTGGCCCGCTTTTCTTTGTCGGCCCGCCCAGGGGTCCGAAGAAGAGCTGCGGCGGCCCGCGCTGCCACGCTGACGGACCCCCCCCACTCCCTCTGGCTTTTGGCCGGGGCGGCGGGGCAGGACAGGTGACCTTCTCTGGTTGACGTGTGCGCTTTGTCCTCTCACCCCGCGGTCCGCCGTGCATCTCGCGGGCAGGGCCGTTGCTCAGTGCAAGGTCCTGCTCGGCCACCTAGAAACCCAAATATTGCCACCATCGCCGAGAGGGCGGGTGGGAGTGAGCGAGACGGCTTGCGGGCGGGGAAGGCGTCTTGACCCCTCCCCTTACCCCTCCCCTGGATTTTTTTTGGGGGGGTCCGCGAGAGGTCAGGGCGTCCAAAACGGCCTCGGCAAGGAAGCCAAAATCAGCATTTTACTCTTACTGAGGTTTTGGCCCCATGTTGGCCTCTTTGGGGGGGGGGGGGCTGAACGTTATCCCAGCTCCTCCTTTGATCGAAGGCCTTCCAGATGGCCCCAAGAGGCCTTCCAGGGCTCCCAAGAGGGCCTCAAGAGAGCCCCAAAGGGAGCCCCAAGAGGGCCCCAAGACATCTAAAAGAGCCCCAAGAGAGCTCCAATACCCTCCCAAAGAGCCCCAGGAGAGCTCCAAGAGGCGATTTTGAGGGCTCCTGGGAAGGGGCCGAAATCGATGACCCCCTATCTTTTGATCGACCTCCTCCTCCTCCTCCTCCTCCTCCTCCTCCTCTTCCCCTCGCCCCCACGCGGCCCCCGGGGATAGCCCGAAGAGGCCTTCCAAGGCCACACCCCCTCCCAAAGATCTCTCGCTTCATCCTAGTTGCTCGCTTTGTTTCCCTAGATGTGTCCCTTCGTCCCTTTTCCCGTCAGCTCTCGTGGGCAGGGCTTCTGAATGGGCTGGTGGGGATAGTTTTTTGTTCGCGAGCGTCGCGGCCCAACCGCGCGCCGTCCAGAAACGAGGCAGCGTGAATAATGCTTTAGCATGATCGCCCTAGATGCTCCTCGACGGCCCTCGCCGGGGACAAATGCACACGTCCGAGCGGTACCAAAGGGCAGGGCCAACATAATCACAGGGCGACGCTTGAAACGGCGCGGGTCATCACCAACACAAGGCGAAACTGCGCCCGACGCCCGCTCGCGCTTCCTCGGTCGCCCCCCCTCGGTCTGACGTCCCTCTCCCGCTGTCCTCGCCTCGCCTCTCGTCCGTGCCCGTCGTGCGTCCCCTCCCCCTTCATGCGTCCTCTACTTTCACCTTTTCCGACTCTCGGCTAACGAACCAACAATAGCACACCTTACTATGTGTAATTCGTGTACACGTTTCACTCCGCGTCCGGGCGTTCGGTATCGGACTGGGCTTCGTGCTCGTTCTGGACCTTGCCTCGCCTTTCCTGGGGAAGGAGAGGAGCACTTGTAACTCGCGGCGGTAACGGGCGTCATGGGGGGAAGGGAAGGGCGGGGGGCATCACGTAACGCTCCCGCCCCCCCCTACTGTGAGAGACTGTGGTGCCGGAGGCGCTGCGGCAGTGCCGGGGGCGCACGGGAGGGGTTGGGGGCGTTACTCTCTGGGGGGAGGGGGGGAGGGGAGGGGATGGGAGGGGGAGGGGAGGGGGGGGGGAAGGAGAAGAGGGGAAGGCATAACGCGCGGAATGGCCCCGGGGGGGTAACAACATTATCCTGGCAAAGCGACCTAACAGCGATGTGTAGAAGCATATCTGGAAGCATTCCCCTTGAGATTCAGATGAGAATCCAGTTGTAGAATTCTGCTGTTCTCGCAGTCGCAGTCGCATTCGAGATGACAGTCGCAGTGGCAACGGCAGTCGCAGTCACAGCCTCAGCCTGCCTCAGCCAGCCTGCCTCAGCCTCAGCCTCAGCCTCAGCCTCAGCCTCAGCCTGAGCATCAGCCTCAGCCTCAGCTTCAGACTCAGTCGGCCTCAGCCTCAGCCTCAGCCTCAGCCTCAGCCTTCAGCCTCAGCCTCAGCCTGCCTCAGCCTCAGCCTGCCTCAGCCTCAGCCTCAGCCTGCCTCAGCCCCAGCCTCAGCCTGCAGCCTCAGCCTTCAGCCTCGCCTCAGCCTGCCTCAGCCTCAGCCTGCCTCAGCCTCAGCCTCAGCCTCAGCCTCAGCCTCAGCCTCAGCCTGCCTCAGCCTCAGCCTGCCTCAGCCTCAGCCTCAGCCTGCCTCAGCCTCAGCCTCAGC